ACACACACACACGCACACACACATATGCAGGCGCACGCTCATGCGCACAATATGCCATAATTTTTCTAATGAATCCTGCTAAAAAAACATTTTGGTGCCATCTCTATAGATCTAGTTGACGATAAAGTTTGATATTATGATTTTCTTTCTGTTATTAGTATGTTTGCCACTGCTGTTATTCTTGAATTTTTTTTCTTATATAGCACTTTTAGAGGGGAGAGTGATAGGATGCAAAGAGCAAGTTTTGACATTTTATTACGAAAACACTTTTTTGCCAGCACTTTGACAAGGTTGGTCAATACACTGGAGGTTCTTTTCTCTGCAGACTTTACTGTACCACGCGTGAATAGCCATCTCTGTTGGATTATTATGTTTATTTGTCCTATCATAACACGGACGTGCATGAAACGAAAGCCAAGGGAAGTAACCAGCACAAAGACTATTCATAAAACTATTTCAGTTTTATTTCCCCTGACTTATGGCTTTTTCTCCGGTTTTCTAAAATTCCCTTGTTTTATAATTATCTTGCGTGTTACTCGAACGATAAAAGGACAGAATATCCCCCTTCCTAAAAATGCGACGCTTCCTTTTGAAGCCTTTAAAATATTCATCTTGAAAAATCTTTATGTCTAATATTATGGAAGTATCGTTCAATTTTCGAACAACAGTAAGTTAGGTAAAAAGGTTAAATCAACATCCTCAAAATGTGAAATATACGCTACATTTACATTTGTCCAGCTTGACTGGTCGGGGGGATGGTTAACTCAAGACAGTGCACAAAAAGAAAACGTTGTTAAGTAAACTATGCAGTATACAATGAGTTCTCGGTCATTTGTAAGGGGAAAACATCGTTAATACGTGACAAGGGGCTCCTCCTGCCTGTTCCCTTTCTCCATCATTTTCTGTCATTCGAAGTCTATTCCCCCCCTTTTTTTTGGGGGGGGTTACTTTTTAGGGTTTTTTTGGGTTTATTTTTGTTTTTGTTTTTGTCCCAATATTCCTTCTTATGAAGCTGCGTGAATCGTTCAATGTATTTCATACTAGTCTTAATTGTGAAGAAACAATTTTTTTGAAATAATTATGTATTTCTTCTCTATGGTTTCTGGTACTTCCAGAATACAAAACCTACCTTCCTTGCAAGGCTGGTCGTATCATCGTAACCAACCCACTGGTTGCCCTTGACAACATAAGGCACGCCCATTTCGTCCACCCTGGTGACCACACTCGCTTGGTCTTTCAGGTATTCACATATCTGAAAAGGATTATTTTATAGAAATACATGTATATACAGACGTTCGGAAATCACCTTTGAGATGAAAACAAAACTGGAAAAGTAATCATTGCACAATCTCTGTCTTTGTCTTTGTCTTTGTTTAGGTCTTTGTCTGTCTCTCTGCCTGTGTGTCTGTCTGTCTGTCTCTAACTCACTCTCAAACGTGTGTGCGTGCATGCATGCGTGCGTGCGTGCGTGCGTGCGTGCGTGCATGCGTGCGTGTTTGTGTGTGTGTGTGTGTGAGAAAGAGAGAGAGGATAGGTAGATAGATAGATAGA